TTGATTGTTCCTGTAGCACTTTCCTGACTTCTTCCTTATTTTTCTCAACTGCATTGTATAGTGTTTTGTCAAAAAAAAATTTTTTTTTTTTAAATAAATTATTACTGGTCAGAAAGAGACTGGAGGAAGCAGAGACTATGGCACTTGACCACCCTTCAGATCTACAATGAAACTCACCCTCATGCCCCAGTTTTCAGTCAAATAGTAGATAGGTTCATAGTGAAGACAACAACACTAGGAAGGTGTGCTCACCATGGAATGTCAATCATTCAAAATCAAAAGAGCAACATTTACCTAAGGGCAAAGTTGAGAAGAGATGGGAAGGAGGGTGGAATGGAAAAAAGGTAGAGGGATAACTGTTGTTGCATTGGGGCGGGGGGTGGGGTGGATTGCAGTTATTGAACTGAAACAAAGTGTGTGATTTTCTTAAATTTAAAACTGATGATCTTCTCTGTAATCCTTCACTGAATTCATAATAAAAAGTTTTTTAAAAATTAGTAGATGCAAAATATCATTTCAGAGTTTGTATTCTGAAAGTGCATTGGTTGCACACTGTGAAATAATCAGCACAGGTCTGTTTTCCAATTAAATGTACCACTCTTTTGTCATCACAAAATTGTCTGGTGTATACTACGCTTGTTGTTGTTGTTGTCAAGTGCTGTTGAGTCGATTCCGACCCATAGCGACCCTATGCTTAAACTACTGCAAATTCAGTGTTTCCCACACCATGAGCCTGTCCACTAGGGCTTTCCTAAGTATTACCTTACAACCTCATAAACCCTCTATAGGGTCGCTGTGAGTTGGAACCAACTCCAAGGGATATAACCACCACCACCATACCGATTCTGATGTACTGATAAAGAGTATGGTATGAAGTCCTGGTGTGGCGCTGTGAGTTAATGCGCTGAATTGCAAAGCCATTTGAACTTCAAGGTCGTTGGTTCAAGCTCACCAGCTGCTCCTCAGAAACCCTATACAGGGTCGCTGTGGGTTGAAACCAACTTAAAGGCACTTAACAACAACCACAACATGGCGTGGTAAGTTTATTGTACATGTTTAAAGGGAGTGGTTACATATCTAACTCTTGTCCTTACTATCAATTACTTTAGAGTTTTGGTCTTTTTTCCTGTCTTTTTAATGACCCATTGCCTTCTTCATAGATGATGTCATTACACAATTCATCTGGTTTTCAATCATTAGTATTCAGTGTATAAAATCTATTTTTGAGATGGTCTCATAATCCAGGTGCGATATATTCAGTCAATGTTGACACTCATGGACTTGTTTTAATTTCTTCAGCTTCAACTTGCACTTGCATAAAAGCAACTGAATGATGCTGAAAATATTAAAATAAGATGGAAACACAGAGTCATTGTGCCAAAAGGAACTGATCAACATTCAGCCATTTTAGGAACTAGCACATGGTACAGAAGGAAGAAGCCCAAGCTGAACTGAAAGTATTGGCAAAAAAACCAGCTCCAGAAGTGCTGCAATTCCAATTGAGATGTTTCAACAAATAAACACAATGCTGGAAACCTCATTCATCTATGCCAAGAAATTTAGAAAACAGTTAACTGGCCAACTGACTGGAAGAGATTCATATTTGTCTGTTCCAAAGAAAAGTGACCCGAAAAAATACGGAAATTATTCTAAAATACCATTAATATCACGTGCAAGTAAATTTTTGTTGAATATAATTAAAAAATAATTGCTGCGGTACATTGACAGGGAGCATCCAAAAATTCAAGGCATATTCAGAAGAGGACATGAAATAATGAATATCATTGCTGTCATCAGATGGATCTTGGCTAAAAGCAGAGAATACCAGAAAGATATTTACTTATGCTTTATTGACAATACAAAAGCATTCGACTGTGTGGATCAAAACAAATTAGGGATAACATTGCAAACAATGAGAATTCCAGGACAATTTAAACCACACTGAATGGTTTAAAACCAGTAAGGTGTTCACCAGGGTTGTATATTTTTATTGTACTTACTCATTTGGTACACTGAGAAAATAATCCAAGAAGATGGATTATATGAAGAAAGTGGCATCAGGATTAGAGATGACTCATTAACAACCTGCATTATGCAGATGACACACCATCACCTGACAAAAGTGAAGAGGACTCGAAACACTTGCTGATGAAGGTCAAAGAATACAAACTTTACTATGGATTGTTGTTAAGTGCCATCGAGTCGGTTCTGACCCATAGCGACCCTGTAGAGGGCTTCCAAGGAGCAGCTGGTGAGCTTGAACCACTGACCTTGCAGTTCAAATGGCTTTGCAGTCTGGCACATTAACCCACAGTGCCACACTAGGAGTTATATGGATTACAACTCAACAAAGTCCTCACAACTGGACTAATAAACGACACTGTGATTAAAGCTATCAAGGATTCCATTTTGCCTGGATCTACAATCAACAAGCAGCAGTCAAGAAATGAAGGACATACTGTATTGGGCAAAAGACCTCTTTAAAGTGTTAGGAGTAAAGATGTGACTTCTGAGAAAGAACTAAGTTGTTCCTGACTCAAGCTATAGTATTTATATGCATGTGAAAGCCAGACAATGAAGAAGACCAAAGAATTAATGTTTCTGAATTATGGTGTTGGTGAAGAATATGATGTATACCATAGACTGCTGCCGGGGTTTTCCCTCGACATAGTTGTCACGCGTGTTTGGTTCACGAGGAGGGGAGATCCAGCGGCGATAGGGATAGCGAAAGAATACACAGACAAACAGAAGAAGGGAGACAATGAGGCACCCCAAAGCCAGGGTGGATACATCACTGGTGGGCAGGCTTGGGACTACAGGCATCATGGCTTCTGCAGGCAGCGGCTCACTGCCCTGCAATCTTTACTGCATGCCTTCCAACCCGTAAAGCACTGCTATCTTTACTCCATGCCTTCCAACCAGTAATGCACACCTGGGGAGGCCCAGGCCTCTGTTTTATTTAGGGGAGGAGTTTCACACCAAGCTGGGTGGGACTAAAACAGGATACAGCTAACATCAGTAATTTTCCAGACATTCAGGTAACTTTACATTGTACTTCACTGGTTCGAATCCCAGGCCAGCAACTTGGATTCTCAGGCCCAATTAACATATCTATAGCCCCTGAGGTCAGTTGGGGGAAGGTGAGAGTTCTGCAGGAGAAGCCCAGGTGAATGGGCTGCACCTGGAAAAGGGATTAGGGAGGATGGGTTCTTTGTCTGTAGAACAAAAAACCGAGAAGTAGCTAAGATATTTTTAGTTAATCCTTTGGAGAAAGGTTTAACCTTGCAACCTTTAGTCTTGGCTTTAGGAAAATATCACATTTATCTGTGGATTTTCAAAGGCTCCAGTGTATTAATTTAATATATATACCTGAATATTAAGATGAAAGCAATTTTCCATTAACTGCCAGTGGCCTCATTTGTTACACTCAGCCCTAGAGGGCCTCGAACCTCTGACTAGTCTTACACAGTCTGCAACAGACTGCCAGAAGAACAAACAAATCCTGATGGAGTGTCTAATGGGTTCAAACTTCTGTCCATCTGACTATTGCTTTAACCAGTACACCATCAACGTTCGCTAATTAAGGTTTTTCATTTAATAGAATAACCCTATGAGGTGAGGTTTATTGAGTTTTATTAATTTTTACAGATGAAAAAATTAAAGCTTGTACAGTTTAGCGTACAGTTTAGCTTTCAAAAATCCCAGGGAGAAAGTGACGGAGCTGCCTGACTCCAAAGCCCAGGTATTATGTATCTTTACAGATATTTTTTAAATACAAAATTCATCTATGTTTTTAAAATTTGGTTAATTCAAAGACACCATAGTTGTCCTCTGCTTCAGTAACAGTTCCTGCTACAATTATCCCATTCCTCTCCTCTATTTACATTGCATGTTACCACCATTAGGTGTTGCCTCCTGTAATCATATTCTGACAGCAAGAAAACGGTCACATCCAACAACAGCTATTCCCCACAACCCACGCAGAAAAATTAAACCCGAGTAGGGGCAACGAGTCCTGGTGTGGCGCTGTGAGCTAATGCGTCAGACTCCAAAGTCGCTTGAACTGCAAGGTCGGTGGTTCAAGCTCACCAGCTGCTCCTTGGAAACCCTCTACAGAGTCACTCTGGGTCGGAATCAACTCAAGGGCACTTAACAACAACAACAAGGGGCAATGAGAGATTAGAAAAAAAAGGGAAGACACAAAAGAATTAAGTAAAGTTGAGACCAGGTGGGACACAGCACTCTGATGGAGATACTGTGACTCAAAACCTAGTGCCGCAAGTTTATTATATACACAAATCAAAAGAAACTACTAGGGTCAGAGAAAAGAATACAAAAACATCTGGTGATGTTTGTGCATGCAGTAAACGGGACCTTATCAAAAGAATGTAACTTGTGTTTGCTAAGAAGACAGAGATAGGGCAGCTAGATGTTTTTGCAGACTAAACTGAAGGCCATGGCTGCATACAAGGAAAGAGTTTTCCAAATTCCTTGTTCCCTGTGGCAGGCTTTGCAAGTTCCTCAGGGGGCAGCCTGACCTGGGAGCAGCCCGATTTTCTGGACCACAACTGTTCAGTTGCAATTCTTTGGTTAAACTGCCTCCAAGTCTGTGACCTTTGGTTTAGTTGCTCCCAACATAAAACTAGAAAAAAGAAAATGATGGCAAATACAGATCTGTGTAAATGGTTTAAATAGAAATGCAGAAGTAGTTACATAGCAAAAGGCTTATAACAGTTTAAACCTGCATCATTTTGGACACAAGATTTTCCATTTAATAGGAATTAACTGGAGATTATCCTTTACGATAGAAACTTTTAAGATTAAACCCAAACATAGTGATGTTCAAACTCGGGAGCACTTTTGATTACTCAAGGCTGAAAGTCCCACACTGTGCTTGTGGTCAAGCCATTGTTTTCCTGCCGGGTGGGCTCTGGAAGTGAATATTCTATCACTTTGTGCAGCTGATTTTGAATGCTGTGTCCACTGAACTGGGGTCGCCCAGGGTCACCAATCAGTATTTGAGTTCCGTGGGTCCAAAAACATTTCTTCAGCCATCGATGAAGGCAGTCTGCAAGGTCTTCATCATAAAACATATCTCCAAGAACAACAAGATCCCACTTATCTTGTTCCAAGTCCAAAATGTTTTTGGTCAAAATGGGAAAAGGATTCAGCTGGTTTAATTCACAGTTTAGCATAATGGCCATTCCTGCAACTTAAAAAAACAACAACAACATAATATATCAGTGTGTACAAGGCTTTAATTCTTTAGAATAACTTAGAAAATTTCATGACTATCGTTTTTCTTAACACCTTTTTTGTAGTTTTTTTTAATACATAAAGAAGTCCAAAGTTTATGCCAATATAAGCTACCTACTGTCATTTTCAAAAATATGACAGACTGGATATCCTGAAAACAAACATTATAAAACACCTTGTAATACTAAGATCTTAGGGATATTGCTACATCAATAACCAAGAGATTTGGTTTGTTACTGCTGTACAGGAGACAAGGAAGTAAGTCTGGGTTTGAGCGGGTGAAGAATTCTAATTGAGGTCTCTGCATAAAATAAGAATCTCCACTGGGTGAACAAGAACAAAATTTTTTTAAAAATTAAAGCTTATGTATATCAGCTCTAGTGGAATAAAAATCTCCCCCAATAAAACAGGCCTATCTTCATTTGGGTCTCGGGTCTGATCAATACTATCTACATATTTCAAGAAACCTAGCCCAAGAACTAATGACAGTAAGTTATTAACAGTAATTAATAACAATAAGTGGTCCCGGGTTGGCATCATTCTGGGATACCTGGCAGAGACACATGCAAATCCTCTTGGGTAAAATGGACCTTCAAGTCAGGCCTCACAGATTCCTACAGATGATGTCTCACTGAACTTATAATCTAAGAGTACAAAATACTCATGGTATTTAAGCTACAATGTGGATGCAACTGTACATATTCATCCTGGAAGGGAAAAAAGAAGATCAGATTTAAGTCTTTTTAAATATGAAATTCTTACTAGGGTCTATGTCGTTGGCCAAGATCCTTGATGCCCCACTCATTTTAGCAGCAATAGCTGTAGCCCCACATCCACTCCCAAGATCTAACACAGATTTTCCTCTGACAATGTCAGGATTATCCAGAAGATACCTAAATGAAAGTACATTGAAAGAATTAGAAAGAAAGATAGGAAAAGATCATTAAGACTTGTCAATAATAGTAATGTCTAGGGGTTGGCTGGTCAATGGCAAGTTTGGCCTGGGTAGAGTCAAACAAAATGTTAATCTTCAGAGCTGGGCCAAAATAGCAGGAAAAAACCTAGTTATCTGATCTTTCTCTTCAATAATTCCACACAACTAATTCTACTCTTTAAATCAACTAAGAAAACAACAACAAAAACATTGAGCATTTTAATAAATGATCCAAAACCAAGCCCAAGGAATATAGACTGACAAATGCTACCATTATCGGGACTAAGCAAACTAGATCCATGGTCTCTTTTTGATTGTTTATCATAAAATGATTTTTAGAGGCTATGTGAACTGTATTACAACTTCTCTAGTAAGGTACAACTAAAGTCCAATTTAACCAGAGAATGGGGACTAAAGCTGACTAGTTACTAAATAAATGAAGAGTTATTGGCTAACACTAAAATACGTCAACTGACCCCAGTACCACAGATAAATAGGGAACACTGGGGACTATGATGAAGCAGGAATAGATATATATGCCCTGTCTGAAGGGGCAGTTGCTACCCATCTTTAGCTAACTGCTGTCACTCAGAAATCCAATGTTACCACATATTTCCAAAACAAAGTTGATTTTTATAAAACATTTCTCAAATTTAAGTTTTTAAATGTTAGCAACTAATTAAAAAAAAAAAAGTTTACAGCAAAGTACAGGCCAAACAAAATACATCTGTGGGTCACCAGTTTGTGCCTTCTGATTCAGTCTCTTAAGAAAGTTGATTGTGTTTATGTTTGAACTTGACAAACAGCCACTCTCAGAGATAGTACAGTAAGATAGCATTTGAAAGGCTGAAGGTTTGGCAACACAACAACCAGGAAACTGAAATTGTTGGATAATACCTAGGAAGCTTTCCAGTCTTTGGAATGCCCCCAAAGATATATGTTTATACCTATATATATTACATTTCAAACAACATACACAAATTCTGTAGGCCATACCATTCCTGGGCAGGATACACCTTCATAATCCTTATTTCACAGCTCCATAGTGTAGTGTTTACCAATTGGGCTGCGAACCGCAAGGTCAGCAGTTTGAAACTATCAGCTGTTCCATGGGAGAAAGATGAGGCTTTCTGCTCCCGTAAGATTTACAGCCTCGGAAACCCTGTACAGGGTCACTATGAGTCGGAACTGACTCACGGCACATAACAACAAATAACCTCAAGGCAGAAATGCATTAAGCATTAAGAGCAAAGACCAGATTGAATGCTGATAGCATTGCCTTGGTTCAGTAGCTGTTTTAATAAAAAGCGTGGTGTGAATATGTAAGACAATATCCTAAGAAGACCTTTGCAGTATAGGGGGTTGCTGTTGTGCACCGTTGAGTCATTTCTGAATCACAGGAACCCTGTATAGGGTTTCTAAGAGTGGCTGGTAGGTTTAAACTACCAACCTTGTGGTTACCAGTCCAGTGTTTATCCTACAGTACCAGGTGACACCTTAAAAATGTCAAGTGTAGGGTTTGCCTGAGATGTCTATAGCCACTAAAGAAATCTTTGTGGCTACCTCACATCTCCTGTTCTATGAAAGATTGAGAGGGAGTGTGTGGTTTAGGAGCAGGGTTAAACTAGGAGAGTTGAAGGACTGGGTTGCCTAAGTTCTGCCTGGAAAGGACCTTGAGCAGTCCACACTGGCCAAACATTATGACTCTTGAACCTGAGAATACATATGAGTTTTTGATTAGTCAGAGCTCTCTAGGATCTTGTCAGATGATCCTAGAATTTATCTTGGGGAAGGAACTATCTTTAGGGAGATACCATGAGAAGCATGGGGTAAGAGGTGAACTATGCAATGGAACAACCAAAAAGATGTTTACCTGCCCTAAAACCAAAAAGATGTATTTTAGAAGTATTTTGACTTTTGCTCTCTTTTTTACACACACACACACACACCACCTTTTTGGGGTGGGGAGTGCAGAATGAGGTGGAGGGAACTGAAGAAATAAAAGCTCTGTTGTTATGTGCCATTGATTCGGTCTGACTTCTGACTCTAGTGACCCTGTATAGGGTTTCTGAAGAGCAGCTAGTGAGTCTGAATTGCTGACCTTGTAGTTAACAGTCCAGTGCTGATCCTCCACCACCACATCAAGAGTCTAAAGCTCTGTGGGGGTGGTGATGTGCCATGGAGTCAGTTCTGACTTCTGGCAACCCTGTATAGGGTTTCCAAGGCTATAAATCTTTACAAGAGAAGAAAGCCTCATCTTTCTCCAGTGGCGTGGCTGATAGTTTTGAACTGCTAACCTTGTGGTTAGCAGCCCGACTCATCACCCACTACACTACCATGGCTCCTAAAAAGTTCTGTAGCAGTCTTAAAAGTTCTCATTTTCAGTTAGGTACCTAGACAGGGCTTGGCCTCCTGGCCAGTAGATAGCCCAGTAAGGATCACTGTAGGGCCACAGGTCAGCTCTTTCCCACCAGAACTTGCATCTCGGAGTCAAGAGCCGCAAATGAATTTCAGGGGTGAGGCTACCACTACTGATGATTTCAGTGTTCTCCTCCAAGAAAGCTTTCATCTCGAGCTCCAAAACGCTTCTAACTCCTCTCCTGGGGTGATGATTCCAGGGAAGCAAGGGAAGCCCTCTGCTTCTTACAGCCTTCATAAGGAGACTGCAGCAGTTCGTGGTAAATGGTGCTAATAGCATCCAACTTAGGCTCAAAGCCATCTGTCCTTTCCCCAGACACAGGTTCTGTCAGAATTGCTGTTAAGGGTTGCTCCTCATGGGAGAAGAACAAGGGCCTGGCTCCTAACTTGATCTCAACAGGACACGCTGGAGCTCTAAAAACAGAAATAATATTGAAAATTCCAAGGCTGACCAACACTTTCAGGTCCAATTTCCTAATAAAATATTAGAGTAATGGCTCTGTACTTAATATTCCAACATTCAACAAGTCACTTACCTTTAATCAAGCACAGTGCTTGGCAACTGTGAACACCTGTCCTCAGAAGCGCATAGGCTAGCAGTGGGATTGAGCAGTGACCAGGCACACACAGTTCTAGCCAAGAGATGTGGAGTTAAAATACAGTTACCTATGGGACAGAGGTTTACAAATTATACTGACTGCACTGTATTTCAAAAGAGACTACTGCACCATAAAATATCAATGTAATCAATATCTCACTGGCAAAACAAAATTTTATAGATTTAACTGTAGTCATAGATTATCATCCCAGATCTCTTTCTGCAAACGTCTCTAATGATTCAATCTGACCAAACCTGAGCTATAAAATCTCCCGTAAGATAACATCTGGATTAAGATTAAGTAGGAATGAAGAACAGCATCTTTTTTTTTTTTTTTT